TAAGCAGTAGTAAGGGAATGTCAGGGCCACCATATTTATGAAAATAGGATGATATGCCGTCAGTACCGAAACCTTTTGAGCATTTCAGGGTTCTTATAGTTTGTTTAATTTTAGTATAGTTAAATTCAACAGTGCTAATTAAGTTTGGTGTGTGTGGAGATGGAGTTTGTGCCACATTAGTAGCAGGGTGTATATTGAGTAACTGGACTTTAGGCTTAAGGTAGTTACCTGCAAAATTATCTGTGAATGCTTTAGTGTAGGTAAACCAATACTATATGCAGATGACTTAGAAGTGACGTATAAATGCAAGAACACAGATCTTGGAATAACAGTAAACGCCATACAGCAAGAATTAGAAAAAATGGATAGATGGTGTGACACCTGGCACCTCCAATTTAATGTCGAAAAATGTGGCTGGCTCTGCATAGGTTGCAACAATTTAGAACTTGACCTGACGATTCAAGGCCATGCACTTCAACGACTGGAATCTGTACTGGACCTAGGGCTGAAATAATTATAATAACAATAATACTTTCTCACTGAGTGATACATCTAATAAAGAAACTAGTATAGAATTACAGCCATTGAGAACATGTTTTTATAAATGTTAAATTGTTAACACTTCACCATCAAATTTGAGCGACAACCGAAACTTCTTTCCCTTTTGTGCTGGCATTTTTGGTACACCAGTGAACAGCGTATATTTTGGTGAGTGATGTGGCGCCACGTGATTAAAACCTATTTCAGGAAAAGGAGAAAACCCTGGGAAACTGGAAAATGGCGTAAAATACAATTATGGTTAATACATCACTGAAAGTACACTTACAAGATACATACAAGAAGGTGGTGGAGACTCCTTGGAATGATAGAACACATTTGCAATGTTTAATGCTAACCATATTGGTTTAAGCTTGGAAACTGCGACGTTTTTGATGAAATTATGCCTTTGTTCAAACACTGGTGTTGTCGTGTTTTTGATGAAAGCAACCGACTTTAAGCAAGCAACAAATACGAACAACGAGTTAGTTTTATCTTCATTAAAGGCCTAGGTAGTTAAGATAAAAATAGAGTATAATAGTGCTTAATTGAAAAGATTACCGTGAGAAGTGAGTTCAAAGATCGGGAAGATTAGAACCCGTAGGACAAGCTGACCTGTAAAACGACTCACGAATTTCTGTAGGGCCCAATGTGCAGCATCTTGGCAAGAAGCTGAACAGGCTTGTAGATGGTAGGGGGAAAACACTTTTTATAATTAAGATCTGTACAAGCCTCATTTTTTCTTGTTAAGGATCTAGACTCATGTTTATCTCCAGAGCTGTCGAAAGTGCACATTGCTGTCCTACAGATTGGAGCGATTCACATTTGTGACCACCACCATATCTGCTGACCAACATGTGCCACACTCACTCCTTTTTAGATGTTAAGCTTTGAGGTATTTGCGGCGATAACTTTAGTTGCAGCATCGAAATGTCTTTGCGCCCATCCCAGTGGTACAGTATGCTGCACATTAATGGCTTTCATGACAAGTGCTTCCAATTAGGTCACCATATACATCGACACTTGAGGACATTCTTGGCAGTACCACCTTCATACATGCATAAGTGTGCATAAGTATTTGTTACAAACGACTAGGAAATTAGGTGTCTCTCAAAAGTTTATAAAGTAGAGAAGTAGCTGGTACTGCAGCAACCAAGTTATAGTCTATTTAGCAGAGTGGAATTGGTAGTGCAACAATCAGTGATAAAATTATGTACGATGATCCTGAAGAAAACATCTGGTTAACAGAACTAGTTATGCTGAATTTTCATGACCGATTTCCACATCGTATGCGTCAGACATTGTAAAGTAACCCATAAACTTACGTCTGCTGATCTTTATGTTCAGATTATATTTTATGCTTATGGATTCCTAAATTTGAGAATGTTATTCCTGTAGGATTCACAAAACCATGTTCGCTAGACATTACTGAGATTGCGGACTAATTTTTAAGTTACACATTTGCAATACTTCTTTTGACGTAGACGTATTTACTGTGAAGTTGATTTAGAAGTAATCTTGATAAGAGAACGCCCTAGGATTATGGAAATTTTAGGGTTTGTCTTGAAATTTGTGCATAATTCTCTAATAATGGGAAGGATATGGGGTCTGTTTATGCATACAGCGTCAATGTGAAAACCGGCTGTATACAACAAACACCTTTGTTTGCATTAGAATTTTATTTAGTATTAATAGAATCAGTGTATTCATATTGTATACTAATATGTAAAATTATCTTTCATGACCTCGTGTTGCGCTAGTCCTTACATGTGTTTAATTTTTTTAGGCAAATGGAGGTCGTCGAATATGAAATCAGTAGAAATGTCAATCGGTCAAACTAACTCTAATACCCTTCATCAGGATTCTCTTTTTTAAATTATTGAAATGTTTAATATACCGCTAGTTTCCACTTCTTCAGTGCGTCGCTATGTGAATTTGGATTAATGCATGTTAAGCTTACTTAGTGGGATGGAGATTTACTGTGGTATTATCAGAATGTTACTTTAGTCATTCATAGGATTTCTCGTCTGTTTCTATTCAATAGCACGTTGTTAAAACTAAGTAGAACTTAGCAAGCTGGATAATAATTCTGTTCTGTTCGATACGCTAAAGTTGCCTTATCTAGCCAGTTGCAAATCTGTATACTCTTAAACGCCAAGTGTGTAGTACAAGTAAATATGGTAACCTAGGGTTGATGTTTACTTCATCAATCTGTTAATATGCAGTGATATCATCAAATAGACTGTTTACTCGACAATGAGCTGAGAAACAATTTTTATTTATTTCTAATATGCCATTCAGTCATTTGAAATGATCTAATATCCATAATTTTTATGATCAAAAACTGCAGTATTTGCATATCTACTTTATGGATAATAAATTACTTACGATTTTATGAATCTAATTAGAACTTTATCCTGCTTTAATCGTGATAGTAGCGTGATACATTGAACTAATCACGCAGCGTATCATCGGGCATAATGTTTATGAGCCAGGTGTGTAAATCAAAGTAAACGCTCGTACGGTACATTCACTATTTTTAAGACTAGGTAGTATGTAAGAACTACGATTTGACCACTTATAAAACTTTAAATATATTTAGATATAACCAACGCACGCTGCTTACTTCTATGATACACTACCTAAAGCTACGTAGCTACCTTAAAGTTGTTCCCACTGAAGGTAATCTCCTCTAGCTACTACCTTAGTGGGCAACTTAATGTTATCTTTGAATGACGAAGTAAGATTTGACATCCTGAAAACTGCATGGGTACAAAGATCGTCTCCTGGTAAAAAAATATGAATATATCCTAATCTACACGAAAGCGTTTGGAGTCATTTATCCTATCACCACAACGCCTCAACTGATTCACTATTCCTCGTCACTTAGAAAGTAAAAATAAATCTACTGAGGACTGTATGCTTCTGACTTCCAGATATAATGCACCCTTGGGATAATAATAGTTAGACGCGTTATATTTATCCGAAACATAACGACTATAGTTGTCAGCTACAGAACATCCTACTCTGCTATATATTCATCCAACGTGCCAGCAAATATTTCGCCAAGAAAAAGAGGACCATTGGTTCAAGGAAAATTCATTTAAAGTTTTCTAAAAAATCATGGACATAAATATTTATAGCCACGGAGAAATTACAAACATCCAAAAAGTAGGAATTCGATAATTCGAACTGAAACAAGCAACTTGAATTCAGCTAGTGTCCTCTCCCCGAGTAATAATCAGCTTCTCAGCTTGTCTTAGCTTCGAAAAAACAACCGATTGCAAGCCACAATCCGAATCGTTATTCCTTGAAATTAAAGTCTTACCTTTATTTGGGATAACACGTACACTCACGAGATCATCGTATGCTATGTACTTTTAAAATCATTTTGCGACATACTGAATGGCTGGTAACAGTTGCTTTACTACAAACAATTCTAGTTCATGTGTTTGGGTCTGGTACATTAGGCATTAACAACCATAGGAAACACTTATCCTTTGAGACGAATGTGATTGCCTTCCGACTTCCTCTTGTTTTCAAAAATACATACAAGCACCACATATTCATAATTCACATGTGGCTCATCCTTGTTTAAATTAGATCTTCTCACAATATATCAGGTGTTTTTAACTGATAATAGACGCGCTGATGGAATACTCATCTTCTAGAAAAGCTCCAGAGCTTTTTCAACTTCAACCCAGGTTCTAAATTTATTTATTTATTTTACATTTTATTATAGCTTGATTCCACACAGTGCTCCTTTTGGTACAAGTATGAAATTTTCAGCATGTGATATCGGTAGCCCAAATTTAGTAGGCCGACCATAGATATCAGGTGTGCGTCGGTGGGGGATCGAACCTCGGACCATGTGCATGGTCGGCGAGAGTCCTAACCGCTGTGCCACCGACGCACTCCAGGTTTAACATGCTTTCCGAAAACCTTGCTACTGTCAACTCTGATCGTGATCTTTTCACTAGAGTGACTCGTAGATTGCTGCATGCTGCAAACTAGAATGTGAAAGATATAGTTTTTTTTGAGAATTCTACATATTAAGTAACCAATTGGACCATTGGTTATAACGGCAACCAACAAATGAACTGGAAACAACAGCTTCTGCCACCCAAACAGGTTCATGTGCATAATTTAAAAAACTTCTACACAGTACTATTTCACAAACAGCTGAAAAACATTGAAAACACAGAAACGACGCATGAATGCAACGTATGAACAATTACAATGAAATGAATGAACTGACCTGGCGGTTAAAGCTTTCGAAAAAAACCAAATAACTAATTTTGGCAGTAACAGAAAAAAATGAGGTGAAATGCAACATTTGGGATCACTGTACATCAAGACAAGTTCAGTCGATGATTTGAGCCTCTGAAAGCATTGGAGGAATTCAAGGTCAGTGAGAGCGGAACAACCGTATCAAAATTTATAGCGCGCAGCTGGAATTGACTATGGAATATTGTTCAGTAGACCTGAAACTAAAATTATACGCTGCTGCGGTAAGTATAGAGCTGAATTGTATAATTTTGTCTTAGATACAGAATGCACACATCTTGGCAGGTGAAATGGATTTAGCTAACTTGCAGCTGGCATTCAAAATGACATCCGAGTTGCAACAACGTGTTATTGATTTAATGCGCAAACAAGAAAGACATCTTAAAAATTTGGAAGCCTTTATGAATATAAAGAAAGAAGGTAATATGTTTCTTGGGGCTGCTCAGTAATTTATTTTCAGACACATATCCAGCAGGTGTTATGGAAATAGATAAAGAAGTCTCGCAGAGTATGGAGACAGATATGGATGCACGACATAACCATTACGATGAAAGTCAAAACAGTGAAGTTATAGGCAGTGGTAGGTATAACATTTTCGGAAACGAACTTAAGATTTGTAAGCATGACTTAAAGACGGCAAATCATTTGGAAAGCAAGTAGGACAGGTGGACAGTATTTATTGTTTCATTAGAATAAAAAAAATCAGTTAACTGGGTGTAATGCGCTTAGGTTACATTGACTTCTTCGTCCTCAAAGTAGCCAACTGTTGACTAGGTAACTGAACATATCAGTTCGGTACTTCATCAACGTAGGGGATTATATTAGAATTAGAGTAAGTTATGATCCTCAAATCTTTCAACCGCTGTCATGTGATTATGTTAGCGAAGGTAGAGAATAGACACCCTGAGGAATGAACGCGAGAATGGCCTTGGAAATCTTAATCTAAACCAGGCAGCGGAGTCAGTTGAATAACAGTATTCTCATAAGAGAAGTACTAAATGCAGTAAAAGCAGCTGGTCTTCCTATTTTAAAGCCAGGCTAGGTTTACGTTAAGGCCGCAGTAGAGTTAGGTAAGAGTAGGTTACGTAATGGCTGAATTAAAGAACCGAATTAGCATTTTTAGCATAATTGGCAGACCCAAGGTCATTGGTGGGTTCGCCCCGAGTGTATTCTTTAACTGTCTTCTAGTATTCAAATATTTTTTTCAGGAGTATTTATAGTGACTGATCGTCTAACTGTCATACCCGTAAGACTGAAGATCGCTACCACGTCTCTGCCGTTACATGTGCTGTGTAAGAATTAGAATAATTGAAATTACATTCTTAATCCAAAGTACTGCCTACTTCCGTATCATCTTGATATATCATGACAATGATTCGGGGTTTCATTAAGGTTTGACCACTGTGAAGTATGCAGTACATTGCTGGAAATGCACTGATAATGCTGACCAAGGAAAAATTTAGAAGTGATAACTTGGGAAAGATCAGAAAGACGTTCATTTTACACAGCAATCAGTAAATACTAATTAATAGTGAGATATATGTGGGAAGGAAGATATACATAAACTAAGTGGATATAATAATGAAAAGATAATATTGCTGGGGAAGGGGAACATCATAAAGTAATTTGACTGGATTACGGCCACGCTAAATCTGGCCAGCTATGTTGGTTTTAGACGTTGGTCTTCCAAATGCAACAGGTTACAGGTGATCCTAATCTGCAACACAAAAAAGCAGCAAAACTTGGTAACATAACTCCAGAGGTGTTTGAGGATGATGATGAATTATGCACTGAGCTAACTAAGATATTAAAGAATGTCTGGGAATCCGGGAAAGTACCGCTAGACTGGTTAGGTTGAGCCATAACACTGATTGTGTTTCCCTGTTGGCTAGTCCATGCCAAAGTTGGAAAAAAAATAATGAATAGGTTGGAAAATCCTCATGAAATTAGCCAACTGATGTTTGAAGAGGAGGCATTCTTTATTGGTTCACCCCTCAACACGCTTAATTCTAATATTACAACGGATTGCCAACACCACTCACCTCATCCGTCACTAGGTTCTTTTGGGTAAGTTTCAAAATCTTAGTGTGTAAAATACAGGTGTTTCTGATTTTTTACGTGCATTCCGAGATGTGAGTCACATTTTACTGGTGAACGATAGTAGACAGTTAGGTGCACTCACTCCTGAGCTCTTTCTAAGGTTGTACAAAACATACGTCGGACCACACCTTGAATTGCATAATATTATTGCACCCCCACTGCTTAGAAGAGACGCTAACTTCTTGGAAAGAGTCCAAAGACGGGCAGCAAAAGGAGTGGTTGGTCTCCGAAACAAACCATATGATGAAAGGCTAAAGAAATTAGGCCTATTCACACTTAGCTACCGTCGTCTTAGGGGGATTTAATTACTGCCTACGAAATAACAAATGACCAGAATCACCCAAACAAAGGTGTTCTGCTATTGAGTCGGTATAGGCCCCCTCGTGGAAACCCCAGAAGGATAGCTCACCAGAGGGCAAGGACCCGGGTGTGCTCCCACTTCTTTTCACTGTGGGTTGGCCGTCCCTGGAATTCCTTACCGGCAGATGTAGCTATGGCACCGTCTGTGGACGCCTTTAAGCGAAGGCTGGACAATCATTCAGAGACACAAGGACTGCGTCTAAATGGCCTATCCCCTTAAAATCCCATACATCATTCAGGGGTAGATAACTAAGTTCATCGTTTTACATCTTTACATTCTCTCTTCCGTCTTACTCTCCCGACAACTTTACACTTAATATTATCATTACTTCATCTCCTCTTCGCATGGCGTCCTTCATGTCACCATCGCACTGGCGACCAACTCGCCGCTTCCCATTCGGGTTCCACTCGAGTGATGGCCTGGTGTGTGATGTCACTCACTTGATGGTTTGTTTTCTCAGAGTATGGCTAATCCACCTCCATTTCTTCCTGCATATTTGTTGCACAATTGGTTCCTGCTGGGTTGGTTCATTGCCAGAAATCTTTTCTGGCCGGCCATCTGATCTTGAGCGAAGACAGGTTTTGATGAAGGTGTGTAGTTCGTTTGAAGTGCCCTTTGTGACGCGACGCTGCGCCAAGTCTCTGATTCATATAGCGAGTAGCACTGACTGCACATTGGAGTTGAAAATGCTGATGTTATTTTTCATGCTGAGTGCTGTTGATCTCCACACAGACTTGAGAGTAACGAAAGCTTGCCTTGCTTTCTCGATGATCCTCGCTTTGATGTGCTCATCAGTTCCGTCCGCCTGTAGTTGAAACGACGATGCTTCCCAGGTAGGTCGGTAGGTAGCTGAAGGATGTTGCTTCTTTCAGATTCCTCCCATTTATGCTGGCTGGTTGTTGTAGCTGTTGCTGTTGGCCAGGAATCTTCATTACCACAGCTGTTTTCTCTATGTTCATCTGAAGTAAGTCCTATCTTTGATGCTTCTTCTGCCAACTTGTTGCTTTTCACTTGCATATCCTCCAGTTTGTGAGAAATCAGACATATATATGTCATCGGTGGAATTCAGATCCTCGAAGTGTTTTTTGTGTGGGTCAATTTTGTGCCTGTTTCCTCGTTGCCCGTCGTCTGTCACATTATCTAGTCTACCGCATTCAGGAAAATCAGTGGAGATAGTAGACAGCTTTATCTTACTCCCGTTTTCATTTCGAAGTGTTCCGTGAGTTTCCCGTTGTGGATTACTTGGCATTCAGCATTATGGCTATTATCAAAAATAATAATTTTCATCTCTTGTCCGAATTTCTAGATGTTTGTAGCTACTCACAAATCATGAAGTCGTTTATGCAGTCCTGTATCATTAAGCAGGTGGAAGTATACTGGTACAATAATTATTGGGAATAATTATCATCATATCTTATTCAGATAGCGAAGTTCTCTTTAGACTTAGATTGTTGTTATTGTTACACCGCTAAGCTTTCAGTTATTCATACTAAATGATGTTATTCCGCATTAAAATTACCGAATGTTACTGTGAAATAAATCGAAATTTCTCAGTAATCGTGAGTTTTTAGTCATTCGACAGTCACTTAACTTTTAGAGTCACTGAAGTTTTGCATCCGTATATATACATATATATATATATTTACTGGGAAATAGATATGAGAATAGATGATATAGTTACGGATATTTGATTGATTGCATGTTCTCATTACTTTGAACATGCTGTGGAGCAGATTCATACATTGATTTCTAGTCTGAAATGCGAAACCTGATATGACTCCAGAGGTGTTTAAAGATGCTGATGAAGTATGCACCGGGTTAACTAAGATATTAAGCAGTGTGTGGGAATCCGAGAGAGTCCCGTTAGACTGGTTAGGATCATCATGATGCTAAGAACCAATGACTGGAGACTGTTGATGATATGGCTCAAAATAGCTCTTAATGGCGCTGATGTATTCACCATTTGTTATCTCCCACATCCACTGAACTGTCATATTTTTCCATGTTACTATTCTTTCTCCCGCACATTTCTACTCGTTGTGGTTCTTTTGAATCTATTCTTTCTCTTTTCCCTACCTTTTTATGCTGCATGGAGTGTGCAACTTGAACTGGTGCACTTCTGTGCAAAGTTCTATGTTGAAACTCAGTTAGTTAGTCGGTTTCGGTAGGCTGGTGTAAATTCTTGATTATCCCAGTGACAATCGAGGTTGGGAGGTGGATGGGTTGTGGAAATTGGCTTGACTAACAATATCTAAAATTCTAGGTCCGCGAATCCCGCGTAGACTGGGAGTTGCTCAGGAGAAGTATTTGTCTTATCTTCAGCCTTCGATAAATTCTGGAACATAGACACTTGCTGGCGTCCAACACTTTCCACTTCTTGACATGAAGACGATATTCTATTCTGTTGACTGAAAGGTGCTGTGACAATGTCTGTTGGTGAAGGAAGTGCTCAGAAAGAACACTACACTAATGAAGGCATTCTACTGGGTGGGAATCACAGCCGTGCAAGAGCATACGAAGAGTTGTCATCTGACGACCAGTGATGTCCGTCAGGAACGCCCAGTGTCTCCGTTTTTGTTTAATTTCATCGTACATGTATTGATAAGTGTAACCGTGATTGATTTTAGCGACCTGTGGCAAGGAGCAGTCTCATATCTTTATAGTATGCAAATGGTACTGTCCTTGTAGGTAAATCTGATGACGATATGCGGAGTCTTCTGCACACGTTGAGCAGAAATCTTAGTACGTTTGGCATACGATTCGCTTCTGTGAAATGTAAGATGATTCTATAGGAGTGTTTTGCATCGACTCATAGTTTAAAGATAGGAAGTAAAGTGGTTGGGTGTGTTGACCACTAGATTTACTCGAGAAGTTGCATCAGCATTAATGTAGTGATTGCTGACGAAATCTCAGCATGGATATGGAGGGCTTGTGTACATTTGTGAAATGAAGTTATCCCTGGTGTAGACGTGATGTCTGGCTATCGACAAAAAGTATGTACTGTTCAACAGTTCGCTTTTTCTCTCTTCATGACTGTAGGACAGAACCGTAAAAAGAAGAGGATATGAAAGGATCATCTGTGCGTAGTCATGATTGTTTGCGTCCTGTCTCCCGTGTAAAATGGCATAATATTATAACTTATATTGAGGTTGGGTGTAGAAAGTTAGGTGATAGAGGCAAGTCAACTGCTAAAGTTGTGAAGCTGCATCGATTGAGATAACTGGGACACGTGTTACACATTCGAGGCCGTCATCTTCCCTGTCGAGCAATGTTAGTCGACATAAGATTAGATTGGAAGAGGGTTATTTGTGGTGCAGTCGAAACCTGACATCAATGCTTGAAGCCTTTGACTAGTGGTTTGAGTCACGTAAGGAGATATAGACTGTCTGGCTGTATTCCTGGAGGTGCAAAGGAGCAACGGTTTGAGAGTTTTGGTGACATGGCCCAGTTTTAATGTTAAATGCGTAGTTGCATTCGCTGTTTGTAATGTCTCATTCATTAAATTTTTATTATTTCTCATGCAATTATTTATTCTTCTGCAAGTTTCCCATCACCATAGGTCCTTTTTCTTTTTTGTTTCATTTGGAGGGTGGCAACTAAAACTGTCTCACTTTTTTCGTAAAGTTCACCTACGAAAACTCGAACAGTGTGTTAGTGATAGTGTGCATTTAGTGCTATAGGTGTTCTTATCAGAAAAACTGGCGAATATATTAAATAATATCAGGATCAAGGGATTTAACCTGTTAAGAATTTAACTTTGCTACATGCAGTTTTCCTTTGGAATATGGCTCACTTGCAACATAGAGTATCCTTGTATGTGCATATTTATTTGTTTTTGATAATTGAGTTTGTGCAAGTCAATCAGCGATCTCCAACGAATAAAATGAGATTCCGTCTCATAAAACAGAAACTTATTTCAGACCAGAAGAACGCTGGGAATATGCTTACAGTTTTTGTGTCTAAGAAAGCATAAAATTAAATTGTAACTGAGTTCCAAGATAATGTTTACCTGTATCGACAGTGACTCCTCTTATGTTTATGACTTAATTCAGCAAATGGATAGCTTGCGCTTCCACTCTCTGGAACAGTTCCATTCTGTTATTTCTGTAATATCAGTCCGTGTACTTTGGTTAGTAAACATCGCGAAACTCACTAGCTTCTTTGTACTTTTAAGAAATTAAGCAAGTAAATATATGAAGTTTTAAAGCGCTTCTGCAAACGGTAATACATATATGCTAAAGAGAAATATGAAGTATCAGAGATAGTTTTCTGTGTTGAGCTTTAGTTACTGTCCTAGCGTGTATTGGCTAACCATTTAGAAATGCAGAACAGCTTCATGCTTTCGTTATGATTATCTCATATCCTTGCGACGGTGATAGTATTTAGATCTAAATAGCATATTGTCATAATTTCTCACTAGTTAGTTTCTATAGATATTTATCATTTGTGCAGGAAAACGTTCTTCCGCGACATCTCGTTACACAATAAAACTAAGTGCCTTATTTTCTACTACGGTCACACGAATGTCCTCATGTAGAGCAGTCACTAGCTGGTTGGTGAAAACTGAGTCCACTGAATGTTTAGTTTTAGTCGCGGGAATACTTTGGCATTGTGGTTTAGTAATTCTTGACAAAAAGAATTCGCTATCAGGCTTCAGATGAACATAGTTGTTTTAGACCTGGTGACTTGCAATCAGTGAGCGTGACATTACATAATTAAAACTTGAAAGGGTGAATTAAATGTGAACTTGTTGATGTGAAGAAATTTTAACTTAATTGAATTTCATTTTATATTTATCACATTTTTAGAAAATATTGAAAATGGGGAGGCAATAAATGACAATCAGCATTTGTGTGAACTGTCAAACCATGTAGTCAATAATACAGTACCTACTAACAGTCAGACGAGTAGTATATGTGAAACGCTTACACCAAGTACTTCCACCTCAGAGGAAGCATGGAAACCATTAAGTCAGAAACACAAATTGAGATCTATAGAATCCCTTTGTGAAGTTATGCTTCTTGATGGTATTCCTATACCTTTCACCAATGAAAACACGGATTGTGTTGCCTGTAAACTAAGAAATCACGTGCAAACTGAAACGGTAATCAGGATGGTTTGTGCAGCGTGCCCAGAATTTCCTCGGCTTTGTTCAGCACAATGTTTTCGATGGTGGCACAATGTTCATTTACCGGCACTCCGTAATAAACCAAGAGCAATAATCGACAGGGGATTTATTGCAAAAGTGAATGTAAATAATTAACAATATATTCTTTTTAAAATATACAAATGTGATTCAACAGAGCATATATACACAATATTTTTGTATTTTTCCCCCATTCACATCAGGGTTTAATATCACGGGCTGATGATTATTCTTGGAAAAAATTTTCGTTCACAATATACCGTATACACTGCATAAGTTGATTACGTTCTTTGCGAATATCTTCTGCCAACAACTGAAATAATTTGCAACAATAAAACAAATAAACACAACTGAATCACACAATAATCTAATTACGAACTTAGTTTTAACAAGGTGAAGATAAATAAAACATAACAGGCAGTTAGAAATCTTGAGTATTCTAGACAACATACAAGTTTACTTAGTAAACCTTTGAATTCCACCTACTAAAGCTGCCTATGAATGTCATAATATCGGAAATGAATAAATAAGACTTTCATATAAGAAAACATTAAATCGACCACGGGTTTGAATGTCCCGCCCCCTCACCGCACCTGCTACCTAGATATTGCAGTTAGATGATATTGTGGTTTGTCAAAAGTCTAAATCGGGCTCATTACTAACTAGATTAACATGTACTTTCATTGGACACTAGTAACTAGTGTGATGCGTCTCGTCCTTTTTTGGTGCAGAATGAATTCGTTCAGTTAGGTTTGTAATGTGGCCACCATTCTAGGTAGCTCGCCATCACGGTGAACATTGATTTGATGACATTAGATGGTTGGAAGCAATCGGCAGGAAGTCTTAGGCCTAGGTATCGTTCTAGTTGGTACTTGTCATCAAAGGCGTATTTACAAACTTGAAAGAACTTATGTCCCTTCTGAAGTTTTAACTAGCGCCACCCAGTGCTGCGGTCAGAGACGTTACCACTGAACTATTCAGGCTGGCGAACGACCTCCTGTAGGAATGTATTGGATACTTTGATTAGACATTAGTTAGTAGCTTGTTTAATTTGTTCAGTCTTTTCTTTGGTGCAGACTGAATTCTATTGTCAGTCAAGTTTCCAATGTGGCCATTATTCAAGTGGGCTCACCATCACGATGCACTGTGAATAGTTGATAATAGATGGTTGGAACCAATCGGCCACAGGAAGCCCTACCTGACTTAGGTCTCGTGCTAGTTGGCACTCACCAGTTAGCAGGGCATATCTGCACTCACCTTGAAGGACCTCATGTTCCTTCCGGAATTCGAACCCGTGTCACCCAGTTCTGTATTTATTGTAAATTTCGATAGACTCTGTTTTGTGAAAGATACAGGAATGTCGACATCGATGTTTCGTCCAATAAGCTCTTCGAATATAAAGTCTACTGTTTCCATAAGTGGTACATTAATTAGTTAACAAGGTAGATATGCTAAACGGTGACATGAATTTATTTATCTTTTATCCTTTCAACAGATGCAAAGGTGTCTTATACGCTCTGTTTCACCAATTCAGGCTTTAAGAGTTAAACCGAACATTTGGCCATAGAGTGATGTATGTATATATAATTGTAGAGCTTGAAGAGGAATTTGTCAAAAAGAATGTCCTTTGCTTTGTTCAAGGTTGCAGATGCGCCTTGCTGATCTTGTTTTCACATGACTACTATTTGAGACATAAACATTGATGTCAATTACTGTCTACCAATTTGGCTAGCAGTCATCTCTCACCACACCTCTATAGATATTCATAACTTGACAGATTCTCGTTATTCATAATCTAACGGTACATCGATGGTTCAGCTGTAGAGAATGCTCGTCAACCACACGGAAGATCTAGGTTTTGATTCCCGATTGATGCACTCCTAGACGTTGGCTAGTATACAAGCCGGTAACGAGCATGTAAAAGAGGAAAGTTTTAGCGAGTGACTTGCAACCATACGCTGTAGAAACAACATCACACCTGCTGAATATTCAAAGCTTGAAGCCATATGTTCCACTCGGAACGCAAAGGAATAAGAAAGTCGTCGAGCGACAATTTTTGTATGCTATCCAGTTATCCCTTCAATAGCTGGCTAATATGCATCGTCTCGTCAGTTTCGCACGTTTCGGTCTTTGATGGGAAAAGGGCACACTGATCACTGAATCTCAACTCAGTTTTTGGTACTGCACCTGGTGAAGAAAGTATGTAGACTTATCGGATACCAATTTGAAACAACTGGTGGTCGTCTTTCTATTGTACTGTGGTTTACTGACAACTGATCTTCCGTTAATAACTTTGACCATAAAGCAGAAATGCACTAAGACCAGTAAGCATATTTTAGCGTCATAAGAACACAAGAATAATGAATTCAAAGTCTGACAATTCTTTGCTGGTTTTTATCCTGTTAAATATGAGTGAGACGACGTTCTTCTCATATAACACGAAACCTACAACCATTTATTGTCAACAGTTCACAGTGTATCGTGATGGCGAGCCCACTAGAATAATGGGAACAATGGAAACTTGACTGACGATAGAATTCAGTCTGCACCAAAGAAAACACTAGACAAATTAGACAAGCTACTAACTAGTGTCCAACCAGAGTAGTCGACACTTTGTTTGATTAGTAGAGTTTAAATGCGTGGTTAACTAGTAAATTGGAAAAAGAATGCATAAATCACTGCAGGCCACTAAGTCTTCTAGTGGTATTAGCTTTTGTGTTATATTTAAAGGTCAGTTATTAAGAATTCGAAGTCTAATCCATAAGGCAGCTGAGCAACCTCAGTAGCTGCGTTCACATGCTTATCAGCCAGTAAAGCTAGTTTGGCATAAAACTAGCCTTCTTCCTCTTCATTTCGCGTCCGCAAATATTATTGAAGTGTTGGTGATTTGCAGGCATTTTATTTCTTTAAGGATTTCATCATCAGCTAACATCGGATAACGAAGCACTGGAAAACATTAGAGTACTGTTTCGTCCTAGTTCGGGACTCTTCAGCTCAATGGTCTACGGATTCGCCATGTAACCGGAAACTCCTGAGTTCGAACCCCGGTGGGTGCGTACTGTAAACAGTCCCAAACTAGGACGAAACAGCCATCCAGTACTCCCAGGTTTTCCAGTGGTTCACAAACCGATGTCATCTTATGATGAAATCCTGAAAACAATATTATTATTATTCTGTGGCCAAACTTTACCACAGCATTCTGTTGACCCTCCATAGCGCTTCTACTCGTGTCTTGAGAGCACGAAATTTGACTTAAGTCTTGTGAAAACACTTAAGCCACAGGAAGGAGGCGGACAGTTGACTTCAAAGAAAACAAGTATTGACAAACTTCTCTATGAAATGACTTGCAGAAGAATAGAGGAACCTGTTTAATGACAGGAAAAACTAGGACATTGAAGAGATTCAAACTGAGACATTTAAAAGGATGCTTCCAACAAAGAATATTTTCTTTGCGATGAAGTCATCAACTAGGCTGTTCATTCGTGTATTTTTTACAAATAAGTGGAAAAGTTCCAGAATAAAATAAGATTACAATTAGGAATTAAAATGCTATAATAAACAGGGGGACAGATAAAACTCAAACAAGGTAGCATCATAATTACTGAGAAGATCGACATATTGTGCAATTAGGGGTTAGAAATGTAGAAATAACAAAAACAGACAGGATGTTTGGATAAAAACTCCAGTAGGATCATAACTAATGTGACGAATAATTGTTTATGCAGTTAGAGATTAAATATGTAGAAATAATAAAATGACAAAATATACAGGAAGTTCGGATATGAAAATATGGTAGTGTAAATAGGGATTAGGAAAAACTTAATATAACATGAACAAAAGGGAAGTTTGGATAAGAAAGGTGATGGGATAGTCACTATTAGAAGAATTACCTGTTTATGATGGCCATGGCAGGAACAAGGGTTGGACGTATTTCTTTTGGGTACATAGCGTGGATTTGAGCTTTTGGATGGCTAGTGCCTTGGCTATGCCCAGATGTCTTAATTTTATTCCTTTTGATAGGTTTGATCGAATCTTGTATATTATTTTGAAGGATTTTTCGAATGGTGCTGAATGTTCTAAATTGACCAGATGTTCTGTCACTGAACTATATACACGTTTTCGTTCTCCTTTTACTAGCCAGGCTGGATGGTGTTCACGAGCGCGTTTTCCGAATTGGTGCATGGTACGGCCGATGTAGTCAGCTCCGCAACAGCAAGTAAACTGATATATGCATGATGAAGTGGCCCAATATTGTTTTTGAAATTTATTATCATCAGATAGTATAACCGAGAGTTTGCTAAGGTAGTCTGATTTGTTCATCAATACGATCCCGGAGCCTTTCTGGCCGTGTCATGATCAAGTTTTCATTACCCTTCAGTTCTAAGCGAACTATCGGTGATACTATCTGATGATAGTAAGTTTCAAAAACAGTCTTCACAGAAAGATCCCACCGAACAGACGGAGCTCTCGCTAACGAAGATATTTAAGAAAATGAAATACGAATCCATCATCAGTTCAAAACTATACAAACAACTGCGTCCATCTGGTTCTACAACGCCGCGCATGTACAGCTTACCTATAGTGCACAAACAAGACGTCCCACTCCGCCGAATACTAGATATGATAGATTCCCCATATCACTCCATCGCAAAATGGCTAGTGGAGATTCTTAGGCCGGTGTAAGAGAAGCTGTCAAGACACAACCTCCGTGACACATTCGACTTTGTTGATTCAATTAAGAATGTCAACGTGGCAGAAATGAAAATGGTCTCCTCGGATATCGTCTCTCTTCATCAACGTTACATTGACAGAAACCGTATGTTTCCATTGTGACTACATTCAATTCAATAGCATCGATGTTGGTATACCGATCCATTACCTAGAAGAACTGTTACTACGATGCACTTTCAACGTATACTTTAGATTCAACAACGAAATATACAGACTAGTAGATGGAG